GGTGATTAAAGATGCTAAGTGCTCAGCTTTTTTATTGTGACTAAAGATGCTAAGTGCTCAGCTTTTTTTATTGTGACTAAAGATGCTAAGTGCTCAGCTTTTTTATTGTGACTAAAGATGCTAAGTGCTCAGCTTTTTTAATGTGAATTACTTCTATGGGTTTGTTTATTTACAACTTTTTTTTGTAATAGTAACATTTGTTTCAGTGATAAAGCAATTGATACTACATGCTACCACTTTGTGACAGATCTGTTATTAACTACTGACGAAACAGGAGGATGTGAATTGTGTCCATGTTGTGGCGTAGATTATATTTAAATTAATTTACTAAGAAGACAAAAGGTGGAAGACTTTTGAAACGTCGTCCTCTACAACAAGCAGTTTGCCATCCATTCTACAAAGTTTCATCATGAATACTCTGCCTAAACAATCTATCAAAGAAATTGTTGGTTTAAGAAAAGGTTAATTCGTCCTATTTACAATTTTGACCCAAGAGTAGTACTTGAAAGTTATCACAGCACTTTCATTTATTTTAAATCCTCTCTGTGCACTAACTTATGAGATGGAAAACAGGTGTAACTGTAAAGTATTACTTCAAATTTATCAGTCCTAACAAGGCTGTATCTACGGTGGGCGGGGCCACCCAGGACTCGTTCTACTCGCCCGGCACTAAATATCACCGAGAAAAAAGTTCACTGTAAGCAAAAAAAATTTCTTTGTCGATGTCACAGTACAGTTTACTTCGTAATTAACTTGTTAGAAAAAAAAAACAAAAATTTCCAGAAAAGTCACGAAGAAAATAACCTTCAAGCTAAAAATACTTTTCCAGAGAAGTCCACAAAAAAAAAAACCTGCACGTGAAACTGGAAAAATGGACCACGCCTCCCTTGTACTTAGCATGACACAGCAGACAACATCATCGACAATGGATATTATACAAAGCCTATTTTCAAAATTTTATGGATATCTCAAATATAGAAGTATATCAATGTGTTTTTTGGATAAAAACTTTTTTTAATCTCATTGTGACTAATTTTGAGATAAATATTTAGATAGGTTAGTGTGAAACTTCTTTACTGGTGTCTAAAATATTAGTTAACAGTTTAAAAAAATGATGTTCTTTAAAAAGTTTTTAAGTGATACATTTTTGATCCATTGAATAATGTTTATCTTCCGTACATCATACATCGAGTTTGATTTTAATGGTGAACCAGCGGTTTGTTTTACCTGGGATCTAGTTTTGGAACTGAAAAATCTAAACATTAATTAGGAGTGAAAAAGCACAAAGCTTATGTTTTTTGGCACAATGAAACACAAAACCTGTATTATTGTTTACAGCTGTTTTTGGTAACATAATTACCATGATCAGGTGAGTATGTACAATGTTAGGTTAGCATATATTCATTGTTGTATTGTACTATATGATGTATTCATTGTTGTATTGTACTATATGATGTATTCATTGTTGTATTGTACTATATGGATGTATTCATTGTTGTATTGTATTATAGCATATATTCATTGTTGTATTGTATTATAGCATATATTCATTGTTGTATTGTCCTATAGGATGTATTCATTGTTGTATTGTATATA